CCGCGCCCCGGACCCGGTAACCTCAGCCAGCCCCTCGCGTCTCCGCAGGCCTCAGCCCGCGCGGTCTGGAGGAGCGTCCCTGCGGTGCCCCCGCGCGCAGGTGAGGACTCGTCCAGGTGTGACCTAGCCTCTCGGGAAAACCGCCCCGCCCTCCGCGGTGCAGGGGCTCGTGGGCGCGGAGATAGCTCTGATCGCCTTCATTAGACTCAGTGCCTTTTAATGGAGCCTTGATTGCTTCTGGGCTCTCCCGAGTTACTCGGGTGGCCTGAGACGTTAAGTAATTAGCTACCCGACGTCTCACTGGCCTAATGAGGGGCCAGCCCAAGACTGAAACCAGGTGTCTGGGATCCTAAAGGAAAGCACGTCTGATCAGCACAGTTTGCATGTTGCCTCTGAACTGTAGCAGGAGTGCTGTGCGCACACGAAGGGTACTTTGTAAGCCTGCCTGCCCCAGGCCTGCCTTCTTACCATCCAGGAGACCCACGGCGCCTTCATGTGATGGACTCACCTCAGAGCTTAAATGTACTGTCTGTGTACATCGTTCCGGCCTGAATTTATGACCAATGAAAAAGCAAAGCTGGCGCGCCCTCCCTCTGGGGAGCATGCCAGCACCTTTCATGTCCCCTTCTTCCCCGCGGGGCATTACCTTTGCCTTTCCCTCTCATAAGCCCCAGGGCCCCTTCTTTTGCTTCTGTAACTTGTTTCCTGAGCCTAGGCAGCCCAGCTGGCTCACTTCTACTACCTCTAACTTCTAAATAAGCTTTCTAATTTGAAAAAAAGAAAAGAAAAAATAGAGCTGTTGAGAGAGCTCTGTAAAGCACTGTCCTGAATTCATGTCACATTTCTGTCTCTTCAAACCACAGTGGCCAATACCAGTGCATCTTAGTGCAATAGAACACATCACAGCATACTCCTGCGTAAAAGACATGAGGTGGTGCCAAGAATTACCCAGGGTCATGGTTGGTGGCAGAGCCAAGACTAAGCCCTGTGTCTTGCTGAATCAGTAAACATCCACTGAGTGCCATGTTCCAGGCACTGGGCTAGGAGCCAGGCTGGACACAGGTGCTGCTAGCTGGCTCCTGACTGTAGGTTGTGGGCTGTTTCCACCTCCTGGACCACATGCTCTCAGGCAGTATGGCAGAGTCTTCAGGGGCTTCCAACCCCATGCCAGTGTTGTAAAACTTCCTAGGGCCGGCCTGGAGGCCAAGCAGGTGTGGCAGTTCTGCTGCAGAAGCACCTGCCACAAAAGCCGAGGACGACTCCTTTCTCCAGTGGTGCCTGCTTCTCATTCCTGTGACTGCCTTTGGCCTGGGGACATGGCAGGTAAAGGCTGGCCTCTAGCTCTTCTGGCTCTGAGCCCTTGGCCCTGCTGCCATTTGCTTGGGCTTATGCTGTTTCTGTAGGTCCAGCGTCGGAAGTGGAAGCTGAAGCTGATTGAAGAGCTAGAGTCTAGAATTATGGCTGAGCCTGTCCCTCTGCCAGCAGAGTGAGTGTGGGCTGCCGGCCTGGGGCTGGTCTCAGTGGAGGTCAGTAGTGGAGCCTGCTTCTGCTTGTGGTCCTGGCCCTCAGATGGTAGCCCTCAGGATCAGTGGTCCTGCTGGGCTTTTTGCTGACACGATTGCCCTTGGGAAGCTGCCTGAAGTATATAGAAAAATCTGTGATCCTGGGTTTCACCCTCTTTTCAGGTCCGGTGTACCTGAGGGATCCCCCACAGTGCTTATGGCCCCCTAAAGCAATAACTCTTAGCTGGTGGGTAAGAGCAGGCATTGTCATGTCTTAAGTGGTATTTTGAAAAAGTGCCGTAAATGATGTTACTGCCCTCTCCCCATTTCAAAGCACTGTCCTAGAGGAACAGCTATATTCAACAAAGCTTTCCATTCAGGGACGCAAACCTGTGCTTGCAGATGGGGTTTTAGCGCACACAGGTCAAGTACATGCAGGAGTCCATTTTTAGCTTCTCTTGAAAATGTGGACTGCTTGGCAGCACAGGTTCACTCCCACTTGACATTAAAGGGATCAGCTTCCCCTGTAGTGGGCACCCCCTGCACCCCAGCTGTTCCTACTGTGCCTGCACATCACCTACATTACCTTAGGCCATGGTGGGCTTTGTGGTTTGCAGCCCTAACGGGGTCTGTCTTCCTCCCAAACCAACTTTGCTTGGCCTCAGCTTCACTTGTCCCCTCTCCCATATAGCCCAATGGAGCTGAAAAGTCTGGAGTACAGGCCAGTGAAGGTCAGGGGGCACTTTGACCACTCCAAGGAGCTGTACATGATGCCACGGACTATGGTGGACCCGGCCCGGGAGGCCCGGGAGGCCGGCCAGCTCTCCTCCTCGGTCCAGAGCGGTGCCTACGTCATCACCCCGTTCCACTGCACCGACCTGGGGTGAGTAGATGTGCAGGGAGATGACTGGCCTGGCAGATGCCGTCATGGCAGCTTTTCTTTTTTAAAAAAATAGTATATAATTTGGTTTTTATATATCTTTTATAATCCTCACCTGAGGATATTTTTTCCTTTTTTTTTCCTTTAGAGGGAGTGGAAAGGAGGGAGAGAGAACATCCGTATAAGAGAGACAAATCCATTGGTTGCCTCCCACAGGAGCCCCTGTTGGGCTGGGGATTGAGCCTGCAACCCAGGTGTGCCCTTCACCAGGAATTGAACCTGTAACCCTTTGCTGCACCTGCAGATGCTCTAACCACGGAGCCACACCAGCCAGGGAAGCTTATTTTCACCTTTCCTTCTCAACCCCCAACTCTGGGAAATTCAAGATACCTAGAAAGGTTCAGCTCCTTGAATAGTTTCAGACTTGTAACTCTGACATTGTTAAGCCAATTCATTTGACTTATTACTGGACAACTCCTATATGTCAACCTCTGAAAGGGAAGATGAACTGTCCAGTGGCCAACTCATTAAATGACAAGTGCAGCATGAAGGGATAGCAAGAGGGACTCTTGTCTAGAGGGAGTCAGCTTAGGGAAGCTTCCCAGGGTACTCTTTGGCCCAAACTTGAAGGGATGGGGAGAGTGCATTCAGGGAAGTGTGCAGGAAGGGGCAGTGCAATAGAGCAGCTTCCCAAATGTCAGTGTACAAATGAAACCCTGGGTCTTTGTCAACCGCAGCTTCCTGGCTTTAGGTCTGGGATGGGCCCCACTGGTCTCTAACAAGCTGCCCCTCATGGCTCCCTGGTTTGGAGGGGAGATTGGAGGCTGGTGTACAAGGCAGTTGCTCCAATAGTTAAAGGGAGAAGAGGGCATCTGAACCCAGGCCCTGGTGGTTTTAGTCACTGGTTGCAGGTTGCAGTGGGTGGGGCACCAGGAAGAGAGGTGAAGGGGTGGAGGAGTGTAGCCTTGGTCTCCCTTCCAGGAGTTGATGGCTCTTACCAATCAAGACATGGGCACAAGAGTAAGACCTTCCCAAAGGCACACAGCCTTTCTGGGGTTGGAGGCACTCACCCAGCTGGTGTCCATTGTCCTGCTTTAAACCCTCCTCCTGCACCGAAGTTCCTGAAGATGCTAGCGCAAACAGGGATCTTTATTCTAAACCTTTCCTCCACCTGAAACTGCATGCTTTCCTTACTCTAGGATCAGCATCCTGGTAAACAGGGGGTTTGTCCCTAGGAAGAAATTGAATCCCGACACACGGCAGCAAGGCCAGGTAAGAAAGGGAGCGAACTCTTTCCTCAGGTGAGCAGGGCTCTGGGAGCCACCTGTTCTCCATGCTGTGCTGAGGAACAGCCTCACACTTCCTGTAACTTTTAGGTTGAGGGAGAAGTGGACCTGGTTGGGACCGTGAGGCTGACAGAAACCAGGAAGCCTTTTGTCCCTGAGAACCACCCAGAAAGGAACCACTGGCATTACCGGGACCTGGAGGCCATGGCCAAGGTCACAGGCACAGACCCCATTTTCATCGATGCAGACTTCAGTACGTTGTGACAGCCCAGATCAAGGAGCTTTAGTAAATGCCTGTTGTTTGCATTCTAGTGTGTTGGGGGAAGGGATGCTGGTCAGTTACAGGTAGAAGGCTCTTTGGAGTGATTTGAAACTGGCCATAAAAAAATGACAGCTCTGGGAAAGAGCAAGCTAGGAGGGCCCCAAGGAAACAGCTGTCCAAGTGGCTGGAGGGAGAAAGTGCCAAGAAGTAGTGGCCTAAGAGATTGCAGACACTGAGCCCACTGTCTCTGCAGAGAGCACAGTCCCTGGAGGACCCATTGGAGGGCAAACGAGAGTCAGCCTGAGGAACGAGCACATGCAGTACATCATCACCTGGTGAGTCCCGTCCCCAGCTGCTCTCAGCCCCTTCCCCTTCAGAGCCTTTCACCAGACACTTTCTTTCAACCCAAGGTATGGACTCTGTGCAGCTACATCATACCTGTGGTTTAAAAAATTCCTACGTCGGACTCCTGGCACGTGACAAGATTAGCTGATACAGCCCCGTCCTGGGAAGTCACTGAGTAAACATTTCAAGCGATTTGGTTTTATGCTGGGCCATGTACTATCCCTATAAATAAATTGCCACTACACACGTTGTGCTTTTCTTTCTACATAAATGAGCTTGTACCTGGTTGATAAGAAAACCCAGGGTTGGTTCAGTGTTTCAAGCATACGTGCGCCTGAGCAGCAGTTTAAGGCAGCTTTTTCAAAACTGACAAAGCAACTTACACAGCAGTTCTGCCCTATAGGTGACAAATAAGGACCCTGGTTTGAAAATACACTTGCTACCATCCCAGATTTCTTACTGGCAAGAAGGTAAATCACTTTCAACCCCAAATGCCCAAGACACTGACTGAAGGAGATTTCACTTGGCTGAAGGAGACTTTTTATTACTTTTATGTACAGAAAACTCAACAGTGCACACTTAGCCCAGCTTCGTGGCCAGTTCCTTAGCCTTGGCCTTTTCCAGCTTGGCAATGCGAGCCACCGACTTTGGACCCAGGACATTGCCTCCCCAGTGGCGGCGGATCTGCAAGGACAAGAGCAGTAGTTAGTCTAGCCTGGTGTTCCCAAAGCATGATAGTCTGTGGTACTCTGCCCCATTGCTCCAAGTTGATCACAAAACACAACTGCTCAGAAAGAGCCAGCCAGTCCCCTGACCAAAGGCTTGATTTACCCAAGATGGTAGTTTGCATCAAGCTGCTTCTTACCTCATCGTATCTGTCGTTGTAATTGGTCCTGATAGCTTCCACCAGCTTAGCCAGAGCACCTTTGTCTTCCCTACCAAGACAGGGAAATGTGGGTCACTGACTCCTGGTTCCGCTTCCAGAGAGCAGCAATTACTTTGTTTTTTGCTCCAAACACAAGCCTTTTGCCTCAGATATAACATAACCACATGGTTTATTCAGGTGAAGAAATTCGTAACCATCATTGGCAAAGGTTCAGGTAAATGTAGTCCTTTAAGCTAGAATGTTTGATCTTTAAGGTGAAATCCAAAGAAATTAAGTAAACTGGGGGCTGGGGTGGGCAGTTACCTACGGATTCTTGGGGTTTGGGGCCACACTGCATACTTACGAGTTAACCTGTGTGAAAGCGACGGTGGTGCAGGTCTTCCTGTGGACAAGCCGTCCCAGCCTGGCCTTCCCCTTGATAATGCAGTAGGGAACGCCCATCTTCCGGCACAGGGCAGGCAGAAAGACAACCAGCTGGAAGACAGTGTGAGCTCTCAGAGTGTATTTTGACCAGAAACAATGACTTAAAAGTTAGCAGGGTAGCAATTGCTCAGGGTTAAAAAGCTCATGTATTTGCACTTCAAGGTTTAATTCAGTGAGAAATTCACATCATTGCAAGAGCCACAAGACCGGTTGGATCCCTTGTCGGTACTGTCCTCAAATGAAAAGCTGCCAGCCCACTTTGGCCTCTTAATGTGTAAAACTCAGAATCAAGCTTTACCTTCAGGTACCGACATAAAGAACAATCTAAGTAGAGCAACCAATGCTTACGCAAAGGCCAACATACCTCGATGGGGTCCACGTCGTGGGCAATCACCACCAGCTGGGCCTTCTTGTTCTCCACCAGGGTGGTGACAGTGTTAACCCCTGGAACACACACAACCAGTTTGCATGGGGGGGGGGGGGGGGGTGGCTGTTCACAAAAGCAACTCCACAGTGGGTCCAGCTATGACTTGGGGTTAAAAGCTTGATTTTACTCTTCAGTGATTCCAGATAAATACATGCCTGACTGCCAACAGCCTGCCCCACCCCACCACTCAGCCTCTGGAGGAGCCCACTCACCTGCTCGAAGGACAGGTGGCCTCTTGGTGGGGACATCGCCTTTGCCAGCAGCTTTTTTCTCAGCCCGGGCCAACAATCGCTGCTTCTTTTCTTGCTTCGTCTCTGGTCTGTACTTGTGGGCCAGCTTAAGCAGCTGAGTAGCTGGGAAAATATCCATCAGCTTAGGCTTGTAGTTAAGTTCTAACCTTCGTCACTTAATGTAACAAGTGTTAGGTCGCTGTCCTGAATGTTACACTTCAAGAAATCTCAGGCCATACGTAATCCCTTCACAGTTATGCCACCTTCAGGTTCTGGAAACTAGACAAGGAATCCCAAATTTCAATAAACTCAACTACCATGAAATACCCACCACCCAGTAAGAGGCCTTAGGTCTAGTGCTGTCAACGTCAAGACGGTAACAATATCATTGGCCAGTAAGTCCTTCTCAGCCACAGAACCTACCTGTTTGGCGGTCCAAGGCCTGGGTGAACTGGTTAATGGCAGGAGGCACTTTCAGACGCTTGTAGAGAATAGCCCTTTGCCGCTGCAGCCGAATGTAGCGGGGCCATTTGACAAAGCGGGTGAGGTCCCTTTTGGGCTGGATGTCCTGTCCTGTGAAGTAAAGAGCAACACTGAGCCAGGCACTAACTCCTAGTCGAGTTAACATTTAGGGCCACTCTGAAGAGTGCAGGTGCATCAGCGATCTTGGTGGTTTCAACGTGTCATCACATCTTGCAGAGAGCAAATGTTCTCTTACATCATTTGCACACAAACGCCTAGGACCCCAGAAGACCAGCGATACCACTCCAATCAGACAGGTGTCCCTGCAGCAGCACTGTGCTCAGAGCCTCCCAACCGGTTCCGTCACCGCCCCATCTCAAGGGGAGAGGTTAAGAACGGAGCCCAGTTTACAGCTACAAAGTGGCAAACGGAGAATTCCAATGCTGGCAGCCCCCGCTCCAAACCCATAAAGAGAAACCCTGTTCGATAAACTGCTTTTCGTTGGCAACCCAGTCATTTCCGTTCCCCTTTCTTACTCACCAATGCCAAAATTCTTGGGCCTTTTCTCAAACAGGGGATTGACAACCTTCTTGGCCTCCTGCTTCTTCACGACAGCAGGGGCCGGCGCCACCTTCTTCCCCTTGGCCTTCTTTCCCTTCGGCTGGGCAGAAAGAAAACCCAGGTGAACCACCTCGGCCCCCACTAGTTCCTCTGGAGAGGCGTGAGGCTCGGGCTGGCCGGAACCAGCCCCGCGAGCAAAGCTTGGCCCCCAGGCTCAGGCCCAGGAGGCGCAGCAGCGAGCCCGGCCACCCCGTTCGTGCATCAGCGATCTTGGTGGTTAGGGACGTCCTCACCATTGCTCAGATAGCAAATATTCTTTCACATCATCTGCACGAGCAGTGACAGCCACGCAGCCACGGCGCTGCCCAAAGGCTGAGGTAGGATGCGGACAGCCGCGACCGGCCCCGCCCCACCACGCTACACCCCCAAAAGGGAACAATGGCCCCTTTAGGAGACCGACTCCAGAACCAACAAGGGTGGACTTGGAACCGCTCGCCGAAGGCCTCGGAGCAGTCTCCAGGCCGCAACAGCTCCAAGCCCCGCACTGCGGCGCGGCGCTTGCCGGAACCTCCTCCCCGTCCGCTGGGGAGTTTACCCCAGCCCAATGCGTCTGTGCCAGGCCCCGCGGGGCTCTCCTCGCGCCGGGCGGTGGAGAGACCCCCGCGCGGCCGAGCCCCGAGGAGGATGGCAGCGGATAGAACCCAGGCCCCGCGCCGGCACTCCAAATTACCGACACACTCACCATGTTGGGTAGTAGGAGGAGAGAGAAAGGGAAGAGAATTGTGGGAAATATGTATGCGCCCTCAGAGATCGCGAGAACTGGAGCCTGCGCGGGATTTCGAATTTAAAGCGACAGCACGCCTTTCGCGGGACTTCGGTAGGGGGCGGTGTCTAGAGCCGGAGGCGGGTCCGTGAGATCGGAAGGGGCGTGGAGGCCGCGGCTGGACGCTCGGGGAGCTCCGGGGCGCCTGGGAGCCTGTTCTCCTCGAGGTGGGCACGCTCGTCCCCCACCCCATCCCGGCCTGGTGCCCTCCGGGCCGGAGGCCTGCGGACAAGGTGCGGGCCTTGGTGTGGCGGGGCGGGGTCACCGTGGGATGTACCCCAGAATGGCTCGAAAACCGCGAGCTCGGCCGTTCGGCCGTGCGCCAGGCCCCGGGCTGAGCGCTGGGGCGCGGGGAGGGAGGGTGGTCCCGGCGAAACCACGGAGCTGGAGGCTCTCGGCGCTCCGGGGCCCAGCCTGGAGCTGGGTGGTTGGGGTAGAGTCGGAGGCACCCGTCGGGTAAAGAGATGGGGCGGGGCTGGAGGC